TGAATATTGTATTGGAAGTTAAGTTTTATTCAAGGTCATATTCTAGATGAGTACCTTTGCCTCTCGTAAACCTCGTCCAGTTCTTTTATGGGTTCATTTAACTTGGTCTAACGGACTTGAGCAATGAAACAGTTCAAGAATCCTTGGCAATCTTGCCTTCTTTTTGCAATGTAAAGCATTTGAAGGCCGAGCTTTGCTTTAGCACTAGTAACATTTAGTTGAAATTTTCTTGAACAAAATAGCTCCCACTATGATCATTGCAAAGTTATTATCCCGAACAACCTTTAAAGTAGACAAGAGATGAAATATTTTATATCCATACTCCTGGAACAGGGTAATAAAAAGTGTAGTTCAAAAATCTTTAGCAACTGTTTTTTTGTAAATATCGAACTGATTGAATGGCGTTGTTTACTTATCTTACCGTGCTTTTTACTATACTTTTACTATGCTAAGTCGCGTCTTCAATATGATCATTTGTACAAAAAAATGTTCCCGTCATGATTACCGTACTAGAAATATCCCCTAGAAAGTTCAATACAATCAAGATTAAAAGTACATAACATTCTTAAAAAAAAGTAAATGCTTTGCATATGGATTGAACTATACATTGTTGAAGTTTTTGCCAGTTGAAGAGACCAGAAAACCCGATGGAGTGCGTATGGATAAATAATTTTCTGATAACTGTCGAATTCGCTGATTTAAACCAAGGTAAACTGAAAGGTAACCTTATTTTATGTCATTAACCTTTACTGTAAACAAACACTAATACAAAACATATTTTAGACTGTAGCACATCTGAGACTTCAAATTCAACTTAAATAAAAAAAAAACTAAATAAATATAAAAAAAACTGGATACAACTTGTCCATATAGATGAGACGTCGACTGCAGTATCCAAAGGCCAATGGTCAAAAAGCACATCAGTCATTTACCGTTATTAAGCTACATAATACGATTACTTAACTTGTTACCACGGTTGGTTCCACATAGTAATATCGTTCCGGTACAGTTACACGTGATATAACCTCTTTGTTCCGCTTGTTTTGTACTCTATGGTCCACTAGGGTGTTTCAACTGTGACGTCAACATGATAGGAAAGTGTCTGTCTAGTGGTGACATTAGTAAGTCACTCTGCGAATTGAGTGGTAAATAAATTGTAATGATAGTAAATCTTACTTGACACAATAAACACATGATGCCGACCTGCCTGGTGAAACACATTTTTATTGTGCAATTTATTAGACTTCTCACTTATTGTAAAAGCTGAAGGCTGCGTTTGTATCTTGTCGGTGATGTTTGGGTGCGCCAATGTTAACTAAGGGTTTCTCCCTTTTTGTGTACTATTTTACCATTTTTGCCTGTTTCGTTGTGATATCGGAAGGCAGCATTTGTTTATAATTAAATAGTTTAGTTGGTTGAAATGTCCCGTATGGGGAAGAAACCTTTGCCGTAGTTGGCACGGTAAGACCAAGGCCGCACTATAAGATATACCTAGTGCGTATATCTAGTGCGGCCTTGGGTAAGTCACGAAATTTCTATAAAATTATATAAGACATAAAATACCTTAATGGTCAAGTTTGGGAAATTAGGGATTTTTCAATCTTATCCATTGACAATCCTGGTGACGGTGACAAGTGACAACTACATCCGTATCCGGGTAACATGTCGGTACCGGAAATGCCTGTGCGTCTGTGGCTTACTGACCTGCCACACCTACTGCCTACTTCCCGTTTAGGTGTGTAATTATTGTACTGTCCGATTCCCTTTTTGGAAGAGAACTTTCTTCAAATGGGAAGCTTGAAATTCCCTCTATAATTTGTCAGTGTAGTTTAGAACAATGTTTATATTATCATTGCTCTGTCAATTAGCTGTGGTAAACTCCAGGATTTTATATTTTAATGCTTTCATTAACTTATTTACTTTTAAGTAAAACACTTTTTACTACCAGAAGCTCTGTAAAATAAACACATTGTTCGTATTTATAATGGCTCCTAGCACAGGAGGTAATTTGATGATAGGTAAACTAAACTTCTTCCCCGAAAGGGGGTTTTACATCCAAATCAAACCTGTCTATATCCACCTATTTTGTTCAATGTAATATGCGTTTCGTACCACATTTTTTCAAAGTCATGAAACGTTTTTATACACCCTGTATAAGGATATATTCCACCGAAGAGTATAGTGTTTTGGTACTTTAACCAACGCGTTTATTGCTGTTGCGGTTTTCCCTGCCCTGAGAAAGGCCGACGGTGGTCGTGAGCGAAAATCAGAAACGTCGTCAGCCGCAGCCCCGCAGTGAGGTATTTGGGCCCGGGCAACTTTCGTTTTCCCATAGTCGGTGCCAGAGGTCACAAATTTTGGACCACCCATGGGGGCCCATGAACATTGTCGATCATTTTCGATTTAAAAAAACGTTTTGATTCATTGGGGGCGACTTATTTCTGTGTATCTTTCTAGACATATTTTTGTTTTCTGTCTGCTTATTTCCTTTTTTTTACTACTTAAACCATCACGAGAAATTAATGCAGTTTCCAAACTACTGCTTATATTTTACTATCAAAGATGATCACTCAAGTGCTTCATTAAGAGTAGAGCTCACGTTAACTTTTACCTAAGTTAAGACGACTTATCCTACATCAACGCCTCAAACCTAAGAAATGCAGACACAAATCAAAACAGGTTTCAGACTATTCAATAGAACTGCCTAAAAGTAGCCTACTTGCTGTATTCAAAGTCAAAGGCACTATAAAATCAATAAATATTATCTGCCTAACTCAAAGGTTGTATTGCGAATGATTATATTTCTGATTACTGCAATTTGAGTGTTTCTTAACACGTCGGATTTTCCTAGTGTAAGTCATATTAGTAAGCGCGAGATTTTTTACTCCAATTTATCCAACAATGCGTATAATTTCTACATCGATATGGGTCATAATGTAGTGAAGCAGTGAAAGCGAAGTTCAGTTGTGATATGATATTTGTATATAAGATAAAACAATATTAGATCATCCAAATTTCAAAATATTTATCGGTTTTGTTTCGTAACTCTCATTTTTAGCTCTCTTCATTATTGTTTCAATTTACATTCTTATTACGCTTCTCTAAAGTAGTTCTCCAATTTTTTTACTTGTATTTTCAAACGAAATTTCTTCACGGGCTTCAAGCAAACACAATAGGTGCTTCATACCAAACCAAACAGCATGTTTTGTAGACAATGGCAAAATTCGTGTTGAAAGCCGTAAAAGGTGTTGAGATGTTAATTTATGCGCAGTTCTCAAACACACGTTGAAAGACGCGCCTTCCATTCTCTCCAGGCACAACTCTCTCTTAATTCCAGGAAAGAGTGATCTCAGGAAATGAGCGAAGCGAACTCACTTCTCTGGGATTGGCTGTATCATTTGAGATGACACATTTGGGATGTATTTTATACGTAGGGGAGAGTGCGCAGTGCACAGTGTTCATATTGCAGCCAAAAGGCACAGATTTTATCAGTAGCTTTTTGATGGTTTGAAACTGGAACCAGAATTTTGCATTCGATCATTGGATGTTTGATAAATGTTCCTTGCTGAATAATAAACCAACCTAAAATTGTCTGGGTAGCCAATTGGTTATAGTGTTCGCATTTAAATCTGAAGGTCGCTGGTTCGATTCCAAACGATACTGTTTCCAGACCCTGAAGTAATTTGTCATTGGACCATGAAAATTATGCTATCTAAAAATTGGTCTCCGTTAGATAGTAACAAGACCAGGGTTTAGACAAGCCCATTTAAAACGTAAAAATGCCATTGCCGTAGAAAACACTCAAATAAATACATCTTCGTAACAAACCTACACAGACATGTCACTATATTCTGTATTCAGATTATTTATTCAGATCAATACTACAGGAGCTATGTGTGTATAGCTGTAGGAAGCCATAGTGATAAAAATAACTGGAGCGCTTTACTTTTAATTTGCGTACCGTTAATCGACAGGGGTTCAAAATGTTTCAGTATGCTCCATATTTTGAGATAAGTATTACTGATTTTGTTAGAATTTCAGTGTATCGCGAAATTAAAAGTGATAACAAAGTTAGTGCAATCGAGAAGTTAGAAGTTTAGGATCTTTAGAGGATTTTACTTGACCAATCTCCTTAACTAGCGACTCGTAACTTACTAACTTACTCATCTTTGAAGATGCGGCTCTAGTCTATAATTTGAGGTATTACTGGTAGTTTTAGAATTTTAGTTCGATCTACTATTCTTATTCGAAAAGGTAGTAAGTAGGCTACGTGTGTGTTAGTACGTTATGACCTGTGTACTCTCGCTTTTGCTTTTGCAGTTGCAAATTAACTCATCGATATCACAAAATTGGTTTGTACTTATCGATTATCGATTGTCACTAATTGGCGATTTCCACCGTAACATCCGGTGGGAGCTGATCGTCGATTTCCGATTGTTATGTTGGCACAATTGACTTTCATTTCAGTCAATCGAGTAAAAGCGGACGAAAGTCATTGTTTTGGGACGCTTTCCCATTCAAATTATTGTTTGTGACACTACGTTTGAATATTCATTTTTGTCATATTAGTTTTAACGGACTGCCAGAAAATAAAATTGAAAATAAGAAGAGATATAAGAAAAAAACTATCTTCGATTGGCACATTTTGAACTTTAGTTTGTAGCAAGTCGTTTCATATCTTTTCACTGAGCATTTGGAAAGTTTGATCGAGTGTAAACATTTACTGCACAAGCTTCACCACATCTTCAACTAGTGAACCGGAATTGACAATCGAGAAATTGTGGACAACTATATATTGTTTTATGATGTTTCTAATATAGAACAAAACCCACTCTCTATATTCGTTTGTATTTGATTTCCTTTTAAGTATTTTTTGTACAACCTTTTCACATAGAAATGCTGCTTTTTGTTGATTGACATATTTGATCAACAAAGTCATGTTCATATGTTATTCTGTACGAGTCTTTAAACAGTATCACTTATGTTTTTATCTATTGCAGGATTTGAACCAGTGAGCCCTTGGCCACGATGACGTCTGAACCGCCTCCCTTGGTGCTCAGTGAGCTGGAGAAGGTACGTAGTAGAAATTTGTCACGGGTTTGTCTTGATTCGTTCCGTATTCCAAGGCTTTGACGGTTGATGTGATGAAAGGTTTGATCAGAATTTGCCTCTTCTACTTGAACAGCTAATAGCTTCTACTTGAATAGCTACGTGTGTAAACCATCAAACTCCAGTACAATAACAGACAAAAGGACTTATTCCATCCTTTTAAACATAACCGACATCAATTCTATCTAATAAAGAAAGGCAGGTTAGCTGTCTTAACCATTTGAGTATTCAAACATGATTATGTCAATACTACATTTCCTACAGTTACCTGTCGAAGTGGGCTTTCTTGCACTGATTATAGCACGCCAATGTACTACTTGGTGCATTTACTTACTTTTGCCACACTCATTTTTTGCCGCACTATGTTTTTTGCCGCATTCCAGTATTCCAACCAAACAACATTAAATGTGTTTTTATTAGGCACGTAATACGTGTACGCTTGAAAATAAGTTAGAGTAGACATGTTAGTATTTTTACTCTTTTAAATTTAAATCTGTGTTATCGACAGGCGTCCGATAAAAAATCACAGCCTTATAATGCAGGTCTGAAATAGAATCATTTATTTTTGAAACCACCAATTTCAAAACAATTTTATAAATCGAATAATTTTATGAAACACGTGTCATTCTATTTTCAAAGTTGTAAAATATGGAACCGACGCCGAACCAATTATTTTTTCCAAGAATTCAATACAGTTTTACGTGGCTTAACAAAGGCTTGGGTGCTCTTTGATATTTGAATGTTCTGAAAAAGATGTTCAGGGTGATTTATAATTTAAAAAGTTTTTTGTGCTTCTTTGTGCCAGTAATGTTTCCAAGTAACCTGTTTTATACACAAGGCATCGAGAAGCTTTATTATTTTATGTAGAGCAAGGATAGATTAGGGGTAGTGGGCCGTACTTTTCCCTGAATGAGCTTGTTAGAAGCTTCCAATAGAAGCTTGTTAGAATCGTGGTTTTTAGTCAAGTGACAATGTAGCGGTTGTTTTCAGCCCTTTTTTATCTAAAATATCGAAGTCCATCAGTTCACAAATAGATAGACCCTTCCACTATATTTTGGACTTTTAAGTTGCACAATAACAACTTCATTACTATATAGTTTTGTTACTTTGTACCAGATCACTAAAAACGTTTTTCGTTATTTCCCTAAATACTTTGGACAAAGAAAGCCACATTTATGAATTGAGTGTGCAATATACTTTAGAAAGTTAAATCGTTGTTCCGAATTTTCGCGAAGTCCCTCTGACAAGAAGATTAGTAGGGTTTTGTTTTAGCAGCTTCAGTTTTTAAAAAAATAATTTGCTTAACACTTTAAAGGAGTTATTTGGTAAAGAATAATAAAAAAAACCCACTGTCTGTTTAAGTAACGTTTATGAAAAAACCAGCAGAAAACCCGTCCTTCGTACGGGGTCGGCGTATAAGTATAACATGTTTATTGCAGCTCTTGCTTTGCGTTTGCAATGGGAGAGGACACGTTTTAAGAAAATTTGGTTTACTATAATTTACAGTCTACTAATGGTACAGCACATGTACCATAGCCATAATGTTCTACCACTGCACGTAATCAACAAAAAAAAGGTTCTCACAGTTTTGTTGTTGCTGCTTGGTTCAAATTATCTGTTGTCATAAATGCAAAAAGAATTATTAGTGCTGTACCCTATTGGTATTGACTATATAACACTAGGTACACGTTATACACTAGTGTTATACATCGATCTCTAGAGATCGATGGTGTTATGTAGTCAATGCTATTGGTAAACCTTTTAACCTTTTAATGCTATTGGATATCATAGAACCAACTTGTGCAGTTAAAAAAGCTGGCAAAATTCTTTAATTGCTTTTATATATGAGTTCTCACAAGGTTAAAATGGGCAACTCTAGAGCCACTGGGGTGGAGCCCGAAAGGATTTTGAGATAAAAATATGTCTGTATGTTAATCGGGAATGTGAGCTCTCTTCGTCATTCCAAATTTCAACCCAATCCGACTAGTAGCTATTGCGTGATTGAACTTCAAACAAACATGCACACAAACTTTCACATTTATAATATAAGTATGATTTTAAAAAGTTTAACATTTTAAATTCAATTGATTTAGATGTGAAAACTAATAAACTAAACTAAAATAGGTTCACTGTTGCACGTGTTTGTAATAATGTAATACAGTGTGTTACATAATGTTACATGTGTTGTAATAATGTTTGTAATACAGTAAGGTAATCTCCCTACACTGGTCGATACAAATTTCATTTGTTTTATATCTCCATGATCGATTTCGATTAGTCACCCGGTTATCAAATCCAGTGGGGATTCGGCCTAATGAATTACTGTCACTTAGTTTACATATGTTTACTATCTTGTAGGAGTGGACAGTGTATGTATCTAAATATATAAAAGGCAAAGCCCTCACTGACTGACTCACTCACTCACTCATCACTAATTCTCCCACTTCCCATTTACCTAGGAGGCTGAAATTTGGTACACTGATTCTTTAGGCATTAAATAGGAAAACTAAGTTGTTTTTATTCTGATCGGACTCTCGGGCTCCGCCCCAGTGGCTCTGGAGTTTCCCATGTTAACCTTATGAGTTCTCATATTTAAATGGAATTAATGAATCTTATCAGCTGTTTCAATTAAACAAGTTGGTTCTGTTCTATGATGTACAATAGCATTAAAGTTACAAGAATTACCAACAGGGTGCAGCACTATTATTTTTTTTAAATTTATGACAACAGCTAATTTGCAACCAAAAGGTGAGTGAGCGTAGCGAACGAACTTCAACCTGGAGGCGAGTTAGCGTAGCGAACGAGCTAACCTGAAGGCAAGTGAGCGCAGCGAACGAGCTCCAACCTAAAGGTGAGTGAGCATAACGAACGAACTTCAACCAGGACGTGGTTAAGCCATGCGAACGAGCTCACTTATGAAGTAAAACGGGGCAAAGCCCGTGGGTACAGCTAGTAAATACATAAAATGGTGCTAAAAAACGTGTTGTGTGTCCTTATCAAATATATAGTGTACTTAAATATGCATAATTTTACCATAAAAATCTCAACTTTAAGTTTTGCAATTTGTTAGAAAAAATTGTACTCGTGCAGGCCTAAAGATATTTTGTGAAAGGTTATACACAGTGAAATTATATACAAAGGGCATGTGTCTTGATAATGTATCAAACCCACGAACACAGCAATTTCTGGAATATCAGTAATGATGTGTATGTGCTCAGCATTACCATTAGTACTCAATGCGTTTGGTTGGGTTCCTGAGAAGTCTAGTTACAGCACCAAACCTACGTTTCATTATGGGATTCCAGGAACCCAGCGTTGAAGCAATACATTTTATAGAAAACTTCTCCCTAAGATACATTTAAACCTCCCACCATCGCTGGAACAATTATTATTTGAACATAAAAGATCTGCGATGAAATTATACAAGTTTAACTATATTGAATACTTTACTCACGTACAAAATATATATTTTTTAGCTCTGCGATATTCCAAATTAACAAAACGATATCAATCTGACACCTTTCTCCTCATTAGCTTACCAATAACCGTTATCATGCACAAGTAAAGGGAATAACTATATTATATGGCGAGATTACCAAATTTACTATTTTGAACTGTAGGTTTTAAAGTTGTACCATTTTGTTAAGAATAAAATTAAAATTAAATACATATAATTAAATTTAGTGTATTTTAATTAAAATAAACATAACTGTTTGTTTAAAAATCATATTTTGCTGTTATTTTGCAGGTTTAATAAAATGGGGAAATAGTTTTAAAAGAATTTAGTGGACTACAAAATGATTACTTTTACTACTATGCAACGTGAGTTGCTTTAAGAAAGCACAATCTAACATTTCGTTTCGACTGATAGCACATGCGCACAATTAACTTTTGTGGTCACCTTACTTTTTTGTGTTATTATCTTATATTTTAATATAATTTGGACATTTTAAAATCATATAGAGCGGTTATAGTGCTTGCCTTTAAGTCTGAATATTACTGGTTCGATGCCGAGCAGTACTTATTTATTATGTACCCTTTTGCCATTGGACTGTCAACTGTCAAATAATGGTTCTATCAAACAAAACGTCGTCTTTATATAGTTACTAAGACCACGGTTTGAACTGTTCTGGTAAAACAAGTAAAACATGCCAATAGCGTAGAACACATTAACAAACAAGTAAAACATGCCAATAGCGTAGAACACAATACCAAACAATTAAAACATGACAGTGGCGTAAAAAACATTAACAAAGAAGTAAAACATACAAATTGCGTAGAAAACATCAACAAACAAGCCAAACATGACAATAGCGTAGAAAACATTAACAAACAAGTAAAACATGACAATAGCGTAAAAAACATTAACAAACAAGTAAAACATGGAAATTGCGTAGAAAACATTAATAAACAAGAAAAACATGCCAATAGCGTAGAAATCATTAACAAACAAGTAAAACATGCCAATAGCGTAGAAAACATTAAAAAAACAAGTAAAACATGCAAATTGCGTAGAAAACATCGACAAACAAATAAAACATGACGATAGCGTAGAAAACATTAACAAACAAGTAAAACATGACAATAGCGTAAAAACATTAACAAACAAGTAAAACATGCAAATTGCGTAGAAAACATTAACAAACAAGTAAAACATGCCAATAGCGTAGATAACATTAACAAACAAGTAAAACATGCCAATAGCGTAGAAAAAATTAACAAACAAGTAAAACATGCCAATGGAGTAAAACACTATAACAAACACGTAAACACATGTCAATAGCGTAGAAAACAATAACAGACAAGCAAAACATGCCAATAGCGTAGAAAACAATAACAGGCAGGTAAAACATGCCAATAGCGTAGAAACTATTAACAAACAAGTAAAACACGCCAACAGCGTAGAAACTATTAACAAACAAGTAAAACACGCCAATAGCGTAGAAACTATTAACAAACAAGAA